AAGTTTCTCCTTAGTTCTAGGTTGCTTCTCTCCTTGATTAGTTTCCACCAGTTGCTTCTTGTCCTGCCTTCAGGTGCTTTGGAGAATAGCTTGACTCCCTCTTCTTTGTGGCAGCCCCTGAGATATTGGAACACTGCTATCATGTCCCCCCTCCTACTTCTCTTCATTAAATTAGACATATTCAATTCTAGCAACTGTTCCTTATATGTTTTAGCCTCCAGTCCCCTAATCATCTTTGTGGGTCTTCTCTGTACTCTTTCTAGAGTCTCAACATCTTTTTTACATCATGGTGACCAAAACTGGATCAATATTCCAAGTGTGGCCTTACCAAGGCATTGTAAATTGGTATTAACACTTCACTTCACTTATCCAGAATCTATTGTTGTTGTTTTCCTCTTCTTCTTGTTAGGTGTGCTATGTTCTGGATAATAATAGAATAGGACTTGGCCTTTGCAAATACCTTCTCTTCAGGTATTTGAAAAGTGTCGTTAGCCTTTCTCAGTCATCAAGGTTAAAAATAGCCCATTTTTTTAGTCCTTCCATGTACGATTTTTGGTCTCCTGACAAGGCTTGAATCCTCCAGTCATCATTATCCTATGCAAATAATATGGAAAAATATCCTACACTGAACATACAACTGGATTGTATGAAACTGGACTGTAGGAGGGATGGCAGAACCTGGGGTGGAGTTAAAAGAGGGATCATCTTACATTGCCACATGCGGTATAAGTCCAACCCCCCTTGAATGTTGACCTTTATCCAACTCCAGGCAGATGCTGTTAATTGAGAAGATTCTGGTGCATAGGCATGAGTAGCAATAAATCAGTTTAATTGGACGTTCATGCATAGACCTGATCTTTCGCACCTGACATGGTTGTTTCAATATTAAAATGACAACCAAAAGAGTGACTGGATAACTATTTTATATTGGATTTACAAAAGCAACTTGTTAAAGCTTTGAAGAATTTTATGAGAAGGGATAAAGAAAAGAGGAAAACAAATCCAGTTCTTGGATATTTCTCGAAGGGACTAATGATCAAGATTGTTAAGAGTAAAGGAAAGGAATATAAGATTGGTTTATTTGATCAAGGTTAAAATATATATGTTGTGAACTACGATAACCCTAAATTGACTTTGGCTGATCAGGACTAAACAAGAAGACTTTAAATGTTTGTTTATAGATGAGAGATGGGAGATGGGAAGAAGAGAACATTTGTTGTACTTTGAGAGAAGGTGATGTTACTAAAATTGTTTATACTTGTGATTGGGGGGAGGGAATCACTTCCCTCTTTCTCAGAACAATTGATGACCAATGAATTTCAATTCAATTAATTTTTCTTAAAAGATAATATCAACATTTTTTTAAAAGCCTTTCTAACCTCTCTCTCTCTCTCTATATATATACATTGCTTACTGGTGTACACCACTTAGAGAGTGCTTGCACTTAAAGCGGTATATAAGTCTCATAAAATAAAATAAAATAAAATAAATATTATAAATGCTCCTCTTTCTATTCATTTCTCATGCCCTACAAAAGAAAGAATTCATTCTTTCAAGCTGCCTCCCACTTGAAGGCCATGTTATTATAAAATACAATAGTTTGCTGTAATATACTCATGCTGTATAGTTAAGGACATATGCAGGAAAACCCAGTAATGAATGTATGAGGGAAATCTATAGTCACACATAATTTCTTACCACAGCATATGTATATGAGATGAAATAAATATAGCATCGATTTATCTGGTGTACACACATAAAGAATATACCATGTCTAGGATGGTTGAAGATTGAGTATATTGGGCTAGAGTCCAGGCCAATTTGGAGAATTATTCAGTTGATTTGTTTATAGATAAACATCACTGCAAAATTAAGAAAATTAAAATTAAGAAAATGTTAAAAATTAAGAAAAGTTACTAAATAAAAATAGCAAACCACACGAGAATCTTAACATTTGCAAAATGTAAACTTCAGCCAATATTATATTTGGAAGGATATTTTAAGATATTTAGCACTATAAAGTTCTACGAACACAGAACATGCTCATATCAAATGGTCTTAACTGATATTTCTCAATCTTGACAACTTTAAAATGTGTGGACTTCAAGAATTTCCCAGCCAGCATGATGGCTGGGGAATTCTGAGATTTTAAGTCTACAAATCTTAAAGTTGCCAAGGTTGAGAAACAGTGGTCCACAGGATGGGTACATGTTATCGTTTAGGCACATTTATTTTTAATCAAGTTACTTTCTTAGGTTGAATCCTCAATTTCCACTGCAGCTTACTGCTTATCATATTTGTAGAGTTTGAAACAAGGAAGAAACAATTTTTTAAGTCACCCTTTTTCTTTCACTGAGCTACCCACTTTACTGCTTTTTTTTTAACCAGTTTGCCAGTGGACCATTTCACCATTCTTGCTGTCACTTGAGGTAGGAGGGTTTCACCCCAGCTCCTGAACCAAATGGATTTACCTAGGGCTGGACAACTAAGTAAGTAAGTAAATAAATAAGGGCCAGCATTTCAGTGATCCACTGGTGGACAAGTATTTATTTATTTTTTTTAGTTGAGTGGAAACGCTCAAAGGAGAAGAACAATAAGAATTAAAAAACGTTGTTTCTACTTGGTTTTGAACTGGTAACCCTTGCCTTGTGAGGGAAATGTGATGATTGGAATCTACTATTATAGGAATACCTGCAGTAGAGATTAGGGGGGAAAAAAGGTACTTTATTTTAAATCTCGTCCTTCTGTGTGCATTTTGATGCTTTAATTCTGTTAACATCATTTAAAAATAGTAGTAAACAAAAGCCAAGGACTATTTTGAGTATGAATAAGAGACTGTAGTCACACCATACATGTAACCAGTCTTTGACTTACAACCATTTGTTCAGTGACTGCTCGAAGTTAAAACGGCACTGAAAAAAGTGACTTGTGACCATTGTTCACACTTACGATTGTTGCAACATCCCCAAGGTCACATGAACAAAATTTGGGAGTTTGGCAACTAGCATATATTTATGACAGTCGCACTGTCCTCTGGATTCAGTGTTCACCATATGTAGCCTTCCTGGCTGGCTTCTGACAAGCAAAATCAGTGGGGGGGGGGAAGCAGATTTGCTGTAGATGTTCTCAGACTGTGGGTCAAAAATCAAGGGAGTGCCACCAGCAGTTAAGGGAGAGTTACAACATTTGTTTTAAACCTGATCTGTCTTCTAGACCAGGGGTCTTCAAACTTGGCCCTTTTATGACTTGTGAACTTCAACTCCCAGAATTTCTCAGCCAGCATGCTTGGCTGAGGAATTCTGGGAGTTGAAGTCCACAAGTCATAAAAGGGCCAAGTTTGAAGACCCCTAGTCTAGACAAAGGGTGAGTTAAAGAGGGTCTTTGTCTTTTACAAAAAAAGTGGGGGTCAGTTTTGACAGATACTTTGATTTGTCTGGGCAAGATATGCAACATCAAAACTATCTCCAAGCTTTGTTTCGCTTTTTACCTGTGCAATCCATCAGTGGGCAGTTTTTGTGCTGTAAAGTTTGAAAATCCATATGATATATAGATTAAAATGAAATCCTTAAACCTAAGTGGTGTAATTATTTCTTGCACAGCCATTATGCAATGAAACTAGTAGCTGCACAAATTCATTTATCATTTTAGCTGGGAGATACCATCGGGATAACACTGAAACAGATTTAAATTTTAAATATTTTGAGAGCTGGGGAGTACTGTGATTAGCTACGCTGAAGTAGAAATAACTAATTCCAATTTCAGGTGCATATTTATCTTTCAAGGTCCTTATAAGTTTTATGAAAAATCGAGTCCTGAGTACTTATATTCTCTATTAATTCTTTATTTTTTTAATGTTTAAGTAACTGTGACATGTTTTGAAAAATAAACATTATTTTTAGGTTTATGAAATTTATTGTCAGAGTTTTCATCACAGTGTCTTAAGTATATAAGAAAAATGGTGCCTATCCAACTCCGACTTTAAAGGAAGAGTTTCCTACCATCAGCCTTGATGAATCCCTACTGAAAGATAAAAATGAAACAAGAATAATCTTACTTTTACAATCTGTTTGCCATTATTTCATTTAATAGTGTCAGTCATAGTGGTTGAAGTCCTATCTGGATAGTCAAGTTTCAGAAAAAACTTAGGTTTCAAATTCTGTCCAATTTTTTTTCCTAATTTATCCCCAAATTATTCTTTGAAATAGAATAAAAATTAGCATAATATAAAACAACACAACACAACATAACATCTAATTCTTTGAGTTCTAGAACATATGATTTAATATGCTGCTGGAATGAACTTACTGAAATATGTCACAGACCTGAATTTTTATTAGTAGCAATTCATGTATTTACCTATGGAATTATACAACAGCTTCCAAATACTGATTTTTTAAAGCTCTAGAAAAGAAAACCATAGCTGAGCTAGCCTGAGAAATTTTGAAGATTTTGAGTTTCTGACTGAAATAAGGATTAAGTAGAATTATTACTAATGTTTTTTTCATCCCATACCTCAGATCATATGTCTATAAATTATATTGAAAATGGAGTCTGTATATTTGGGGGGAGGAGATGTTTCTCCAATTAATCAAGCTGTGGAAGAGTTAATAGAGAGAATATGTTGGAATTCTACCTAAGTTTTAAGCTCAGGTAATTAGCTCATCATTTCAAGAGACATAACAACTTTATTCTGAGCCAATAAGAAATTTCAAGGACTTCCTAGTTCCCTTGAATCTTAATAAATAGCTTTTGGAGCCTTTGGACTCTTCCTTTTACGGGCCAAGACTCAGATGAAAAATAGATGATTTTTTTTTCTTCAGGGGCTAGTCAAATGCATACTGCAGAATTAAAGTTCTTTTTATCAACAGCCAAAATAAAACTGTAACTAAAAATTGGTTTAGTTCAGTAGAATATTTCAAATTATTCAGTTGCTTTTGAGTTATAACAGACACCCTGTTACAATGTATTAAATATTATATTATTGTCTTGTTTCTTTACAGGAGTCAGAAAATAATAAGTTATGTTCCTTATATTCCTTCCGAAATACTTCTACCTCACCACATAAGCCCGAAGAAAGTGGTCGTGATCGCAATGAGCTAATGACCAGTGTTAATTTTGGAACTCCAGAACGCCGCAAAGGAAGTCTTGCCGATGTGGTGGACACTTTGAAACAGAAGAAACTAGAAGAGATGACGAGAACTGAACAGGAGGGTATGTATGTATGTGTGTGTGTTTGTATATAAATATGCATTTATCTCTTTCTGTGTGTATGTATGTGTGTGTGTATGTATGTTTAATTTCTGTCTTCAGCCAAATAGTGAATTAAAAGTTAAGGTGAATCTATATTTGATGCCTATTTATAGAACTACTATTGATGTTTGTATATGATGTTTATCTGAATAGATCCATACTCACTTGACCTCTGAAATGTGTGTGTGTGTGTGTGTGTGTGTGTGTGTGGTTATGTGTATACCTATATTTTTACTGAGAAATTCATTAGACAAATTTCTGATTGAGATTTGTGCACAAGAGAATAAATGGCATGTTGATTGTCAGTTATAATCTTATTTAATGGTGCGGGAATTCATCTGGTATATTGGCTTCATTCTACAATCTGTGCTTAATATTTCAAGAGATCTGGGCCAAGGCTGATTGGATTTGGAATGGAAGGCAAGTGAAGAACAGATATTGCCTATGAGAATTTCTCATTATCAAGTTTGGGGGATAGCTTTCTCATATACCAATGAGAACTGTTTATAAAATAGCACCATGAGCATAATGATATGTTTCCAAAAATTCAAAATGCCCTTAAATGAGGTCAAGGTTGTGAAGCTTTTGATAGGTATGGATAAACAATCACCAGAGCATGATTTTGTACTTGAATAAGTATATTCTATTAGTAATTTATATTACAGTTTCTGTGTTGTTTTTTGGGGTAGTCTGTGGTTCAGTTGTGAAACTCTGGATGATGAGAATTAAAAAACCCCTAGGTATTCGTCCTATATTGGCTAACATACTCCTCTGGGACACATGTTTATGGAGTCTTAAAAACATTGACCATGGGTAGAACGTCATCCTTTGCATATTTCAGAAGTGTTGGATTACAAATTCAGATAAACCACAGCCATCAGAGATGATTACAATAGAGTGGGATCCTGCACAAGTGGAAACCATTAGGGAGATTTTTATGATGTCTTTGGATCCAGTTCTGATCACAAGCTCAGGCGATAGATTTTAATAGCAAGTTTGAAGTGATTCAGTATGTTTACATTTTGCAATTGAAAAAATGATGCAGTAACTTTATAAGTAAGGGTAGACTGAATTATACATGGGAATAGATCTAAGACAGATTCTACATCTCTTTTTTGGCTTAGTTTATATGACAAGCACATAGTTAAATATGTTCTATATAGGTGTCTTAAACTTCACAACAGTGATAATGTCTCAGATTTTACATAGCCATCTGTCTTTAAATTTAATTTTGAAGTTCACATTTAAGCTTTTTTCCAGCTAAGTTGCTGGCTTCATTTTGATGGCTAAATCATTGAAAACGTTTTAAATTTATTTTTATATTTGGGCTCACCTTTTTTTTTTTAAGAACAGGATAGAATAGAATATTCTTAATTCGCCAAGTGTGATTGGACACACGAGGAATTTGTCTCCAGTTCATAAACTCTCAGTATACCTACAAAGTGATAAATCATAAATCAAAAATAAATCATAAGATACAACCAACAAAGTGATGGTCATAAGATACCAATAGGAGAAGATAATAGGAAAGATGAGAAAGATAATAGTAATGCAGTCCTGCTACATAGTTATATATCCTTAGGCATAAGACAATGCTGTGTGAACTATATATTTAGCAGAATGATGGCATGGTGGAAAAAACTCTTTTTGTGTCTAGTTGTTTGGGCATGCAATCTTCTATAGCAGCATCCTGAGGGTAGAAGGAACTTTTACCAAGGAACATTTTAAATTTAAATTTAAACATCATACTGCTGAGATTTGTTTCATTTTTGCAGTTAATAAAAAAGATTTTCAAGATTCATGTTTAAAATTTAAACTTTATTCATTTCCCTCTCTCCTCTTTAATACATATTATTAACTTCCACATTATTTCTTTTAGGGGAGTCTGTTTTAATTAGCTTACTTGGACTTCAAATAATTTAGCCTGCAATGCTGTACTGACCCACAATAAGTTCCATTTACATCACTCACACTTACTTTGTAACAGACATTTCAAAAAGTCATTGATGAGAAAGTTTGAATTTCAGTATGCTGCCTGGACTGTATTCCTTGCAGATAATGAAAACTGATTCAGTAATCAATAAAAAAGCACTTTTACATATTTATACATATTATTCCCTAAGTATTTAGTGTTGTTTGCTTCTTTAATTTTCATATTCTTGAGTGGATTCTTTAAATGAGAAAATTCAAACACCTATTATGGAAAAAGACCCTGAATTTAGGCTAAATTACAGTAGGTAATGGCAGGATTCTCAGATACTAGGCTCCAGATATTCAGATATCGTTAGGCTTTTTTCACTGAACAGGAAAATATTTTAATTTCATAGGCATATTTAGATACTCATTAGTGTAAGATAACAGAACTTTAATGTACCCAAAATAACTGAGAAAATTTAAAGTGTAATTAAACTAGAATAAACATCTTTCATTAGTTGAGTTTATAAATAACTATCCATGTTGCACAGAATGGAGTATATATAACAAACTTGCCATTTTGTATGCAACCCTTGCTTCCAGTTGATTTATATGGGCCTAAAAGTTAATTGTTGAGCAACTAATTTCAAGATCAGCTCAAAATAGTTGAAACTCTTAGTTTCAGCAAGAATGCACATTTCTGTAGAGCTGAAATGACCATGTTCTTAAGTTCTACATTTCTCATGTTATATATATGATATGTATGTTATATGTAGTGATTAATACAATAGCTAATAGAACATACCTGAATACAATGAAAGAATTTTAATTATGATATTAAGTTAGCAATATCATAAAATGGACACAGAGATAGCCAGACAAATTTAATGGACTTACATGACTTGAGAATTAATTAAGTCTGGTTACTCAAATTTTGTCAGCCCCTCATGGTAGACCAGGTCAAGAAATATGCACATACATATACAAAATAAAGTATATTTCAAATTCATGAAATGATACGTAATTAAAGTCAGTAATTTGTTTATTTAAGGCTGATGATCAGCAAGTCATCTGCTGCTATAATAAATCAATGCAGCCTTCCAGTTACAATTACTTTTTAATAAATGTATGATCCATCTTCTGTGAGAAAAAATGTTCATGTGCCACACTGGTTGAGCAAAATTATCTGTCTGTATGTCTGTCTGTCTGTCTGTCTGTCTGTCTATCATCTATCTATTGTATTTTATTTATATTATTTATATTTGTTGAATTCATGGTCAATGACAAAGAATTATGACATTAGTAAATTACTAATTAGCAATATACCCTGCTTAAGAGACCATAGTCCAAATTATTAAATATGGTTGTTTCAATAATTTAAATGACCAAGTACTGCTTATAATCTGGGCCACTGTATCTGTGAATACTTCAGTGTGTCATACAACTGTTTTAATCTCCTCTAAATAATAAAGCTTCTCATAATACCATATCATTTGCATCATAGTAAAAAACAAGCTGAGTATAGACTGTTTGCTGGACCAAACAGGCATCAATAGAGTTTAAAAATTCTTGTGCAATATTACATTTATGCATCCTGTGTGCTAACTGCTAATTTATATGAGTCTCAAAAATAGAAGAGGAAAGAAGGGAACTACAAAACAAACTGGGCTGAAAACCAGCCATAGTGCATTGTTAGCAGCTTGCAAGAATGTGGCATGCTGCAGTGAAGATATTGTGACACAGTTGTTAGCCCAAGTGCTGACAGTGAAAGCTGACCCAGCTTGTTGGCAAGACAGGCAGAAAGCTTGTTCCACTTTCTGTCATAGACTCTATTTCCAATTAGAAAGAGGATCTAAAATTGCTTATAGCATAATTTGAAGGTGTTCTTTACTACCATCAAGTACAGGCACAGCTAATAGCCTTTACCTAGTGTTATTGGACTGTGTGCCCAAATCCTTAAATAAATTATTTATCAGAAGCTCACTTCAGTTCCACTATTGAAGGTAATGTTTAATGAAGCCATAAAACCATTTATAGTATTTATTTAATCAGTTTTTGAGATCTCCTGAATCCAAAATATCTCTGGCCAGCTCACAGATTAAAAAATAATAATGGAAAGAAAAATCATACAACCAACCAGGAGATCAGAACATGAACCATAAACCACTCTCAATAGGGGCTACCTGCAAAATCATATACTGCCCATTCTTATTGTTCTGTATTAAATGACTGAACCACAGAATTTTTAGTTTCTTTCTGTTCTGATATACATTATCATCTACACAGAGATAAATAAAGTTCAGTGTCCAGTTTTGTCTGTTTCATTAACAATATCATTCTCTACTTTGCTGTATTAGCATTATTTTCCGGATCTCTTTCCCATTAACCCCAAACTGAGCAAGATATCCATTTATATATACATATATATATTTGTTTTCTGAGGTTTTCGCGGGTATTTGTATGTAGGTCTTTGGTTATTTGGGTTTTCTCCCGCGTAAAATTGGAAGTGTCTTGGCGACGTTCCGACGAAGTCCCGTTCGTCATCTTCAGGCTGGTGTTTTCAGCTTCGTGCTTCGAGGAGCAATGTGTGGTCTTAGCTGTTTCTTCCTTTTAACTGCCAGTGGGGGTATGAACTGATTGGGTGGGAGCTTGGCTGTGCTCTGATTGGCTGGGGGGTTGGCTGTGCTCTGATTGGCTGGGGGACTGTTCTGTTTGGGTGGGGGCTTTGTTGTGCTCAGGTTAGTCTGAGTTGCAGGGGGATTTAAGATGGTGGGCTGCCTTGCTATTTTTTGGCTTCGCATTCGTGGTTGTGCCTCATCTTCATGGTGGGTGTCAGTTTGCTTCATGTATGGATTGGAGGGGTTTAAAGTGGTTAATGATGCAGCAAACCCAAAGCCACACCGATGATGAGGCACGACCACAAACCAGAAGTCAGACCACAGCTGCATCATTAGCCACAACTACTATTGCATAGAATTTACAGTGTTATTATGGACTCATCCTGAATGGTAGCATCTTCAGAGTTGAAAATCGGCCATCATACTCAC